GCGATGGCCTCCAACCTGGCAGCGATGGCCTCCAACCTGGCAGCGATAGACACATGGAAAATGCTCCCCGTTCAATCCCAATTCTTCTCGTTCACGAATTGGAGCGCGCCGTCGTTCGGACCGAGGACAGCCGTTGTTCGGAGCGTGTGTTCTCACATGGATGTTGACCTTCATGAATCTTCCCCACCCCCCGGAGGAAGCCTTTCCTCTTGCTTGGCAGCAGCTGCCTCGAAAGCGAGAAAGCTGCTGAGCGCTAAAGCTGTTCAGATGGAGCCACCCCAAGATCCTTCAAACATCTCAAAACACACCCCTAGTTGCACAAAAAAAGTCCCGCAAAAAGCGTGAACCTTGATCATCCGACTTCACAATCGACGGGAAAGCTGATGGCAGAAAATGTAGCGAAGCTCTTGAAGACTGATTCTGACTCAAAGCTTTGCAAGAACTTGTGTCGCCAAAGGTTGTTGGACGACCTGAACAACTCCGAGCAGCCAAACGCATGCTAGTGACCAATGCGCATAAACCACCCTCTCTCAATCCGTGGAAGCTGAGCAAGCTCCCCCTCTGTCCAGGCACATGATCTTTCAGGGGCCCAGCTGTCTACTTCGATTGTCTGACGACCGGATGCTCCGGTCTCCGCATGCCTGTGCAGATCTGACGGCCTGCGCAGACGGCCAGGCAGACTCGTGGCCATCCCTCGTTTTTCACTCGGCCGGTCCCGTGACTAACGCTCTCTATCTGCAGTAACGCTCTAAACGAAGTCCTGCTGTATTTCTTGCTTTCCCGAGGTTTCCCGACTTTCCACCAATAGGGAAGCTCCCACACCATCCACACCCAACAAAACGGCGCATTTCCTGGTGAAGGAGGCTCCAGCTGTGTACTGTTCCCTTCTTTGGCACGACCGCATGACATCGTATGACACCAGCCATGTGCATCCTGAAAAATAGACTTTCAATGACTTTCACTCAAACCTGCAAACCTGCAGGGTGACATCCAACGTGTCCTTCGTTTTGCATTGGTGGTGTCCCGATGTGCTTAGCCTTCTTGTCTCTGCTCCGGACGGCCCCCGGGGCACCTCCTGCGCCATGTGGCCCGCCTCATGGGCCAGGTGGGCGGCCTCTCCGGCCGCAGCGGAGGACAGCCTCGAACGGTCTCGGACCCCCTTCTCGGACCCCCCGCCATAGTCCATCCGGACGAGGACTTCGGGACACCAAAGCTCATCCGATGAGGTTCCCTGAAGTCAAACTGAGTTCATGTTCTTTTTGCAGATTTTTGCCGTGAATCCAGCGTGTGTGAGCTGGAGGATGAGAGTCAGGTGATTCCTATTGTTTTTGTTTGTTTTTGTCACGCTGTGGGTTTGGGTCTGAAGTGGAGTAAGGTCAGTTGTAGCCACACGCCACCCAACCATAAACCAACCTTGCTTCACCAAGAGGCTTCTTAACTGCAGACCACGCACCTCCTGGTGCCCTTAGCAACGATTTCCGCTGATGCGGCCGCAACTCGAGAGTCATGTCGGCCACACATCTGGTACCACAACGGGGCCTACTTGAGGGGCATTTTGATGAAACCTCCCCGAACCTATTAGTAACAAGGACGCTATTAGGCGCTGCTGGCATCGCTGCTAGGAGCAAGGACGCTATTAGGGGCTCCTGGCGTCGCTGCTAGGAGCAAGGACGCTATTAGGGGCTCCTGGCATCGCTGC